TGTCTCCTGGGACTCGAATATTCTCTACTATTGGCGATCGGATGATTGCTATTTAATCAATCGATGATAAAGTCGCGGGCATTAACGACTCGGACGCGGTTTGCCAAGCCATCATCACATCAATTACGATTTCTCCAGCGGATTTAGTCGCGTGGTTACTACCGACTGTATATATTACGTACCTTCTGCCTCTATCATCCCTACCTATGATGGGTTCGGGCGAGAGTCCGAAACGTCAGGCCAATAGCCTCATTTCTCCAGCCACCGCACCTTTCCCTCTTGAACTCGTCTGTTCGCTTCTAAAAAACGTCTTGACGGTCTGCGGGAAACGAGATTGGCGATGGACCCTCACAAAGAAAGATCTGATCCGTTTAATGGAAGCCTTTTCTAATGGTTGTTGGTTTTACGTCTAACTAACGGGTTGTGTTGTTTGGGTTTGCTAATTTGAACTATTTGATTATGACTACGTCAAGCCCCAGACTTTTAACGCATTTGTTGGTCAAAAGTCAACATCTGCGCCAATGGTTAATTCTGGCCTCACCACAGCTAGTCTATTCGAGCAAAGTCATCGCTTTGATTTCTGGACCAGTCGCCGAGCTTTATATTTTGCGCGAGTTGGCGGGTGATCTTCTAAGAAAATGTTCAAAGGGCGATAACGCTTGTCGTCAGGGCGGTGAACGAATAAATCTACGTTGAAATCTCTTCTTTATGCCCAAACGCGGAACGTGAGGTAGGGCTTGTTCAATCACAGGCTCAGGGCGATGCCGCATTTTATGTGGCAGACCACATGCGTTCTCAAGAGCAATTTGAGCGAAATTGTCCTCTGAGAGTGGATAATCACATTGGCGTCGGAGAGGCCTTTGAGAGCACTGTGCTCCCAATCCCAGGGCAATAAATCACTGCCTTCCAAATCTTTACATATGCATCAGTTGACGAAGATGCGCAGGCAGCCATTCGCTCGCGAAAATTCGGTCTTCCATTTAACTGCAATGCACCTCAACGCGCCGGC